ATTTTGTTATAATGCTGTATGTAGCTATTCAAAATCCTACCGATTGATCGAATTCAAATATTCCATTGCGAACCCAAATTTTGTTCTCGAATCTCCAATATATATGAAAACACAACACCCGTTAGACGAAGTTGTTTATTGGGGTCGAGTGCAGAAGGAATAATAAGCTTTACAGATAATGCTTATTGATACAGTTAGATAGAATAGGAAACAGCATTGAACTATGTGACATTGATAGTTAGGACGACCAATGGCAAACAACACTGAAGTATGGGACATTGATAGTTAGGACGACCATAATATTGACCAATAGAATTAGACCTGCAAAAATAAATCTCTTAGGATATTCATCACATATCCTAAGAAACTCTTCTATGCTTCTACAGTTTTATTGTAATATGATCATACATGAGTAGTTAAAATATCCAACAATGTGCTGATTTTATGTTGATTCTACTTATCAATAACATTCATTGAGAATCAAACTCTACTAAACATTAATTGACATTTAGTATGTCTAACACATGAATTTATTTTGAACTTGATAATACTATTGATTGAAGTAATTTGTCACAACCAATAAAAATAACGCAAGTATCAGATAAACTGTATTCAATAAATTTCTTTAGAAAGTTGCCATAATTTCAAACTTGATTTATTAAAACAAATGAAATCGCCATGATTTAATGAGAGAGTACATTGAAGGCATAAATGAAAAGTCATTTTCGTTAGCGAAATTCAAAGAATTAAGAATACATTTGAATCTTTATCACTTTTCAGCTGATTCGGTAGCATATCTCAGCGGAGTACCATAGTTGATACATTTTTTGATATCATTTTTTCCTACTGTTGATATTTCTTGGCAAGAAGAATGTACGTTTATGGTATAGAGAGACAGAATGTAAAGATTAGTAGTCAATCATACATTACTACGGTATAAATGAAGACTTCAAAACAAAATCCTCGGAGCTTTTATGCATAAACCCCTTGGAATGTTTCTGTATATGAAATATATATGAATTATTGTCTAGTGAACTAATTGATAAAATTATCTTTATATATATATCGTTTTGAAAAACATCTTTGATGTAAGGTAATTATTGCTTGACTATCCCATCCTTTATTCTGCTAATTCCTTTTTGGTTTTCTTCTAAAGCCTCTCTTGTGAAAGAAATGATATTTATTCTACGAAGTATTGATATTTTATATTCGTTTTAACGCTGTGATAACCAATGATCGCTTTCTCTCTTTTAAAAATTAACAATCTCATTAGTATTATTGAACTGCTGATATTATAAATGGTTTATAAGAGGAATCCATGAGAAAAAGTATTTTTATTTATGATATCGCAGGCGTTTATGCGAAGTTAAATTCATTTTGAAATAAATAATAATGATAAATGGATTTATACTCTAATTACTATATATATATATATATATATATATATATATATATATATATATATATATAGATAGATAGATAGATAATTGATCACAGTGTGTTTTTAGTTCACAGTGGTTGTTTTTTATTTAATTTTTTCCGGTGATTATCATTTCAGTAAAATGTGTTTCCTTTTTAAATAATCGATGAACAATTCATCGCATAATGATTAAAATAGAAAGAAAAAAAGACTATTGAAATTATCATTATGTTGTAATTAAACAAAACACACAGTCAGAATTCAATTATTCACGGTTGTTGATATGTAATCTGTCTTTTTAATTTTTTACATATAAATGTTTTTCCTGGTGTGAGTAATATCATTAAAACAAATTTGCAAGGGAAACAGTTTATGAACCTTACAAAAAAAAAGTGAAAAACCAGAATAATTGCTGACACCAATTATCAAATATTGTTTTCTGATGGTGTTTCATTAAATTAATTTCAGTAATTATCAATGTTGAACAATGAAGGGATGATTGTAATCTGACTTCAACCAGACGAACACCTACTGAATCACTAAAAACATCATTTTATTTCACTGTGAAAGTATACTTAAGCTATGTAGAGACAGGTAATATTTTTAAATGGATGTTTTTTGGCGAATGTTATTTTTTGCTCATTTAAACAACAACCATAATGTGTATTAAATCAATATCTTCTTTTGAATACTGCAGACAGTAACTACCCGAAGAATGTGTATGAGGTTGTGCAACTCCGTGAATTGATCACAGGTAGATATTAACACCGTTAGATACCGGCTCATTGGTCCGATAGTTAGGCGTTCGCCCACAGTACCGAAGGTTCTGGGTCCGAATCCTGCGGGGTGCAGGGGTCGTGGATGCACACTGCTGAGGAGTCCCATACCAGAACGAAACGGCCGTCGTCCAGTGCTTCCAGGTTTCTAACGGTGATCTAGCATTGATCGATTCATGGTTTCAAAATATGCAGTATTTATCAGTCATAAAAGAGATCTATGTTTTCAAAATAGTAAAACGTTTTCCATTTTATTCCAGAATGCATAAACTCAAAGCATTGCAATTTGAGTCGAGAAAGAAAGAGTTTTCTCAAGTGATTTCTATAAAAAAAAATCAGGGCTTTGGGATAATACTTTTATAAAATATTTCTGATTAAAGTTAACTGACAGTAGATATCATCTATGTGCTAGGAAACAATCAATACTCGCCATTTTTTCATGCATGAAGAGATATTTATTCAACCTTTGGACTGACAATTCATTAAATTTTATCTGCTCTTGAGTAATGATCAGAAATGACAAAGAATTTGTAACAAACGGTAATAATTATATATATATATATATATATATATATATATATATATATATATATATAATCATATTAGATTTGATATTGTTTAGAATTCACTTTTAATCATAAAAAAATATCGATACTACTGACATAAATTCCTCAAATCTAACAAATAACAGAAAAGAATGAAACATTTTACTTAAACATAGTAACCAAATACATCCGGATGATGAAACGAAAATGGAATCCTAAATGAAATGCACAATCCACGGCTCCAATGTCAAAAAAATGCCAAGAAAAATATTTTATTCAATGTTTCATTGTATTTTTGAATGCCGGTTATGTAGATTACAACCTAGATATTAAGATTCAGTGTATTTGGTCTTCAATGTTTGAATGTAAATGATTGGGAACTTTTATTTTTTTTAAATTGCTAATCATTAAGGGATAATGTGAATGGTAATATTGCTGAATTTTACCAAATGATTCATGTTTATGCATCTCAAGAATAACAGTAATGTGGAGGTGTTGAGGTCATGAATTCCTTATAGATTTTTAAATGTCATCAGTCAGTCGAACTTCTACCAGAAAGTTTAAGTTACGTCTATTACTGTTAAGCCCGTTGAATTTTTTGACTGACTCGCAATAAAGACACAAAGATCGATTGTATTGATTAATTTGGCCCCAAAAATGAATCGAAATGGTATATGAAAAATACTGTCTTTGATTTAACTTATTTATGGTCAGATTTGTATAATTTGTGCTGGGTAGTATTGAGCATCAGTTATTCAGTAGCTTAATGTCTGAGCACCAGTTACAACACTGTACAACTAAGCATCTAAAATCAATAGATGTAACTAGTTGACTAAGTTAGACAATTACTCTTCACGATTATACGTGATTATACGTTACACGGAATCAGGCAAAATCAAGGTCAAATTGTTGTTCGCGCTACAATCGATTACGAAAGTCCGTGCTTGCTATCTCAACTTACTTCTGTTTCAACGTTGATCAATATTTAGCGTAATCGTCCTTCAGCCACTTTCATTTTACTAATTAATTTGGAACATTTTGACTCTTTTTTTTCGTTTAGTTTGTTACATGTTTCGTGTTAAGAAAAATTAATTGTGCTCGTTAAGCTATCAAAGTGCAATTTACGGTCAAGAGCTGTTTTTCCTTCTAAAAAAAATTTGAATACACCAGTCACGATTTTTTTAAGAACTTTGATCATTTGAAATGATAACAAAAATACCCATCAAATTAAAAAGTAATCACTTGTTTAAGTGGAGTTGTAATTAAATTTTGTGTCTGATTCTTAGTCAATCGCAGAAGAAAAAAAAGTTGTTTTTGATCGATAAAATTCCTTCTTCCTATCTTAATTTTAATTAAATACCACTTGGTCCATATATGGTTGAAGTGAATGTTTCATTCAACCATGAAGCATGAATAATAATCAAAACTACTGCATAAGATACAATTCAGATTGATTTAAAGAGTATTCAATGTTCCAACATTTTGATTTTGTAATATGATATTCTAACATTGTATTTTGTTCAATAATTTCAACAACAACAAAAAACCAACTTCTTTTATGAACTTTTATTTAAAGAAAAAAGAAAGAAATAATATTTAAAAAATCTACTTTAACTTATAATTACATTTGTTACATTTTTGTGCAAAAATAATAATACTTAGAAAGTTTCTATTTTTAGTCCATAAAAAATGTTTAAAATTACATGAGACACAAAAGCTCAAAAACTATTGATTCTCAATTTACTGAACATTCATTTCCTCCGCTAATTGAGTAGCATAAAGCGAAATTGAAAAATATCTGAATAACAAATCCATGTATATACAAATGTCTCCATGTGTACTACTTAGTTGGTCTGTCAATGAGGACTTACCTACCATAAAGTAGCTTGATTATTGTGATATATTATTATTTTGGTCTTCAATTTCTAACTCCCAACTCTCCAGACTGAAAATTAATTACACATTTTGAAACTATGAATCGATCAATGTTAGACCATCATTAGAAGCCTGGAAGCGCTGGACCACTGTTTCCTCCTGCTATGGGACTCATCAGCAGTGTGCATCCACGACTCCTGCACCCCGCAGTCCCATACCAGGAAGAAATGGCCGTCAAGTGCTTCCAGGTTTCTAATGGTGGTCTAATATCCATCGATTGTAATGAAAAGAATATGTTTATATGAATGTAGTGTTCTCAAATAAATGCACTTGATATTATCTTCTGTGTGTTTAGTTTGATTTTTATATTTTTTTATATTTCAGCACGACTTGATAGTGTAAAAAATTATATGACAATTAGAAGAGTACCAGCATCATTACAAGAACGTGTAATTAATTGGTTTGATTTTCTATGGTATACAAATAAAATAACAGATGAAGAAAAAGTTCTACGAAATTTACCATATAAATTAAAAGCTGAAATAGCTATACACGTTCATTTGAATACATTGAAACAAGTGGAAATATTTCAAGATACTGAAGAAGGATTTCTATCGGAATTAGTATTAAAACTACGTGTTGTATTGTTTGCACCAGGTGATTATGTATGCCGTAAAGGTGAGTAATTTTTTTATTGTATGTTGAATTATACACAATCGATGAGTTATTTGATGCAACTTGAACTCGATATAACATGATACATTGTACTTTTAAAATATTGATATACAGTGATTTACAAATGTCGTGATAAATTGATACTCAGATATCCTGGATGAAGTATTTTTGTTAAAATTTTACTTAAATAATATGAGAGATAATATGATCATTATTTGCATAAATGAAAATGATTTTTATCATTACCAATTAAACTCTGACTATTGCTTTGTGATTCCTGAAAGGTATTTTTCTAACTAACTTCTATAAAATTATTATCAGTAAGAAAAAGTTAACACTTAATATTACTAAGCATATAATACTCTCCACTGTATGTTATTATCGAAATCGTGAATCAGTCATTCGCAGACCACCATTGGAAACCTGGAAGCACTGGACGGCTATTGCATCTGGGTATGGGACTCATCAGCAGTGTGCATCCACGACTTCCGCTACTCGCAGGAGTTGAACCTAGGACCTTCGGGTCATGGATGCACACTGCTAATGAGTTCCATTCGCGGACGCAACGGCCGTCCAGTGCTTCCAGGTTTCTAATGCTGGTCTGAGAATGATTGAATCATGAATTTAATAAACAATAACAATTCCCATAACTCCATAATGAAAAATACTGAATTTTAATTATCGTATTAGATAGGAAACCGACAATTAATTTTACATCAATGACTTTTATTTACATCTAGAATGCATTGTTTACTTTCATATCATATGTATATGTAAATTAATATATCACATGGAAATATCCGAAAAATAAAAAAAAACAATACACACTTTTTAGTTAAAATATTTTCAAAATTTTATATTTGTAGAGAAGATTATTCCGTTGTGATTGATTGCATTCACAAGTAAGTGTATTGTATAGTTATTAGCAAGAATTATTTCCAGCTGTTACAATTGTAAAAAGCTTTCTTATACTTTCTTATAAATAACAATAGTTTGTGAAAATCATAGATAAAGATTTACTATACATGAGAATTACAACTACTTGACAATTGAATACACTAATCTTAGAATGATTTATGTGCATTGATTAACATTCAGAGTTATATAGATTAAAATAGGTAGCATTTGACTTTAATTCATCAGAAACTTGATACGTGAACACAAATTCGTGATATCATAAAAAATTAAAAGCCAGTGACCAACCGATATAATACATTCACTGGTACAACATTGTTACTTCCTGTAGGATCCAAACTGAGGTTTGGATTGGGGAATAACTATCCAGGTAGTTTAGATAAGCGTCTTTCCCAGTTTACAACCAAAACAAGTGATTTGGGTAAATGACGGTTCTAATATTCATCATAAATATAAATATACATCACTACCTAAACAAATATTACCACTTAGTTATTCCTTCAACAACTGTTCAATTAATCAAATCAACAACATAAATAAATGTTATTCTATCCCTCCTGGATAGATCAGATTCGTCCAACAGATAATATTTGGTTACTTTATAACACAGAGTGTTTCCATTTCTGGAAGAGTGCTCCAATTCACAATCAAAATGCACAATTCGAGTCAATGCAACCGACACAATCAAAACAGGAAAAAATAAAAATGGCTGTCACCATGACTAAGTATCTGCTTATACAACATAATGCAGTTCAGAAAGAAACATAGAAACTCAGTAAAGGCAGAAGAAATAGAAACTATGATAGAATACAAATATTATCATGGCAAAATGGAATCGAACAGACTAACTAGATGTACAACTGAAGGAATCAATAAGGACAAATTACAAATATATGTATATGGAGGAATTTTCACAAACAAGCCTTCAAAAAATGGATCTTCCTTCACTTTTATTGTGTCATAGACAAGTAGACAGAATCAATTTCCCGATGGCATTTTAAATTCCGAATAATTCAACCCTTGTTCATATTACATCACGAGCTTAACAAGTACTCTAGTCTAATTGTATCATGAAAAAAAAACTTTTTTCTGTAGTTTTTTTATCAAATCTCAAGATGTCTGTTTTGTTCTCGGAAACACATTATCATCATCATAGATTTTAAAATGAAAATAAACTTTTATGTGATCAGTGAAAAACAAAACTCATTTGCTTTGTTCGTCATTTCCGTAAAATGATAAATTATCAAGAGAATGTAATTAAATAACGATTAAGTGGTTTTGTGATGCAGCTTATCTATTTTTTTTGAGCCTAATAGCAATCGTTTTTAGAATAACTGAAGAGATTTTTCTAGAACAAATCGATATTAGTTAAAAAAAAAACATAATCTATCAAGAAGTCTGTTTTTTTTTACACTCATTTTGAATGACATTTTTGTTAATTAAATGAGACGCAAGTGATGATGATTCAATGATAATTTATTTATTTTATTTATCGTTCCTGAAAGACAGAGAGAGTAGTTTGTCTGTCATTTGAAAAACGAAATTTAGGTCTAGTTTTTCAATATTGAAACGATGATTGATGATGGTTGATATAAAGAAATTTTCACCATAGAAAAGAAGTTGGATCGAGTTTCGATAAAGACTTCGTTTATATATTTGTGAAGTAGATAAAATTCTGCACTTACTTGAAATAAAATTAAGTAGTAAACTGACAAAACACAAATAACTAATATAAATAGGGAACATTACTGTTATGCTCTTCAACTCAAATGCTTGAAACTATTACGAGTTCACCTTAGTCGATAAACGAGAGTGAAGAGAAATGACCGAGTGACACGATAGGCTACTCTAATCCGAGCGTCCCACAAAGACCCACTAAGTAGAGAAAGAAGTTTTGACAAAACAAGCACCCAGAAAATATGAATTCAACAATCACATAATTCGAGTTTATTTATGAATCATAGAAACTTCCTTGGGAGAGCGAGAAGATAGCATACTAAAATAACATATCAACCAATAACAGTCAAGGATTTTCCGGTTGGGAAATGTAATCTCAAGGTGAGCTGAACAACCAATTGGTGAAAGCATAATAATCCAAAATTTGGACCTTTATCAAGTAAGTTCTGAGGATCTAACGTCCCCAACAATTACAGAAATATTTTTTGTAGTGGGCTATTCCACTCTCATATGTCATGTATTCAAGTCCTTGCAGGTTTCGGTTATGATGACACTCAGTTAAAATCTACTATATACTGCTTGAAACTTGAATCAGCCATATATATAGGGCTACCATTATTCAGTTTCATCGATCTGTAACTGCCCTATTTCCATACCAGTCATGTAGATAAGACTCCCAGAAATCTATCTCGAATCAAGCTACTGTCAGGCTCATCATGATTTTGACTTACTGAAGTGGTGTTAACAAAACCTTTCGGTTCACAAGAGATATAGCACTTTTTGAAGTGAGACAGTTAACGATTTTTAGGTGCAGTCATCTTAGTTGTAGAGGACACCACGAAGAATTCAGAAAAGTTTTAAACACACTACACTCACCAATCACTTTTCAAGTAATCCGTGCTGGAAATTCGTATTGCTTATGTTAGCCTTCATGAATACATCGAGTCTCCCACAAACAGTAATTAGATACAGTACTCTCTGTCACAATGTCCATGGAGAACTGTCAACAATGCCATCAGTTATACTCTGAGTAAAATTTGCTTCAAATCTCCATATGTATGTTCGTTTCATCTTCGTTTTCTGATGGTCATTGACGACTAAATGGAAGAAATAAATATGATTCATAATGGAATCTCTTACCTATCTCCAACGGTTGTTTATTTACTTTCATATATCACTTAAACTACTTTACTACATAAAATTACTCCCGTATTTTATAGGTGAAATTGGCAAACAAATGTATATTGTGAACCGTGGAAAATTGCATGTTTTAGGTGATGATGGACAAACAGTTTTAGCGACATTACACGCTGGAAGCTATTTTGGAGAATTATCTATTCTTAATCTAGGCAATAATGGCAACAGACGCACAGCATCAGTACGTTCTCTAGGATATTCTGATTTGTTTTGTTTGTCAAAATCTGATCTTTGGAAAGTGCTTAAAGAGTATCCAAATGCAAGAAGTAAACTTGAAGCGGATGCCTACAGAAAAATTAATCAATATCAGAATGTTCCACAGCAAAATATAAAAGGTATGAAAATTTCCATTAATTCAATCAAATTTCGTTATTTTTAATTTTCGAAGATCTTTGTAGTTAGCTATGTTTTTCACTGCTTACCTCCACCTTTAGAAATCTTTATTATCCTAGTGCACCACTCAGTTTGTTACTCTAGGGAGCACATGTCTTATCCCATTGTTAAAATGTTGAAGATTCCCCACGAAAGCTTGGGTGATTAGTGAATTCTCAACAAATGGAAGTATCTTACTCTTCCTCAGTCTACTCTTTTATCCTAGAATTAATTTACAAGCAACGTCAAACGTGACAATGAAGGTTTCATAGTTAATTTAGGATACGAGTCACTTCATATGATCAATTAGGATTTCGTAACTATATTCAATGAACTTTATCTCTCATCTATAACCCAATGTTATCAATTTCTGTTTGTTGATTGAAAGCATCTACGGTTAGCTCATTTGAATAAAGAAAACATTATGTAATTATATCTTATTAATTACAAAGTAAACTTTACTCATATTTTACCATTCATTCCAATAATCAATCTGTCAAATACAAAAGTAAATTCAGTTGCATTCTATGGAAAACCAATTTTTACCATCTTTCTATTGATAAATTATTAAACCAAAAAATACGAAGTCATTAAACTATATTCTTATCATTTGGACATAATGCCAGTACTTGGTATTATTTGTTATATGTATCTTTTTATTACTGAAATTCTCGCCTACATCTAATTAGAATCTAAGTTGCATTCACGAAGAAACCCTCGGCATCAAAATACAAAGATATATTGTTTAGGGTATTTCAGTAATTTATGTCTTCACCTCAGTGGTTCAAAGATTTAGCACTCTTCATGTAGTCAAAAGGTCCTGAGTGCAATCTCTAATAGGGTGCACACTACTGAAGAGAGTCATATTAAGACACCCTTCTAGTTTCTAGTAGTCGTCTAACCAAAGTTATTACACAGTTTAACTTCTAAAAGAGTTGTTTACTTTTTTACTGGTACTGATACTGACTCATTGGACAAAGGTAATTAACTTATTTCGAAACTTCAAATTCCTATAATTTCCATTTATAACTGCTACTGATTAGCTCACTTAATTTGTTCATGAGAGATGAATATTGTAAAATATGATCTTTATTTTGAAGATGATTAAAAAAATCTTATTTAAAATGGGAAAGCAGTAACCAGTTACTACATTTTCGTTTAGGAATTTAAAATGGAAGGCTTCAACCTCTTCCTGATAACTAAAGATCCTAAATAGAATCTTGTACCAATAGGAAGCTTGAAAACAAAACATATGGGTTTTTCAGTGATTCTTAGGCTGAGTAAGAAAAGAGTACGTCACTTTCAATCTATGATATTAATCGTCCACAAAATATTAAACAAAGAATCGGTCTACCATTATAAATGTTATTTTTTCTAATCGAGTTGGTCTCTGAGTAGACGAACATAATATGATGTCAATGTATTCCGATATAGCTTAAAGTATTCTTATATTAAATTTATAAATAACTCATACAATAGTTGATTTCATAACAGATCTCAATGTTCTTAGCACAAATTGTTTAGAAACAAAATTATCGGCTATTAAATGTTTCTAATCTTCTTTGTAATTAGTCCAAGCACATTAAAAAACTACTTTTAGTCATTTGCTTAAATATGAAACTAATTTTATTTTTACTTTTTTCCTCTTTTTTGTAAGACCTCCCAATCAAATCTAGTCCATTTGAAAGAAAAATTATGAACTTATCAGATCCATTAAACTATGCTGGTTATTCTACAACTACTCTTGAAAATACACATTTATGTTCTAACAACAACCAACCAATTAATCAGAACAGTCATTCTCAAACAGACATGAATACAAATCATGAACGCTTAGTACGTATTTCTAATAGTGATGGATCGGATGGTTACGGCAGTGATCCAAGTCGTTGCTCAGCGTTTTTGCCTACACCACAACGATCCCCTACTCCATCAGCTATTGTAGTGATGAACAATCCTGATAAACCTCATGTAATTTCAAATCACGGGACATTTGCACAGCCTAATTCTACAATCTTCAACAAAACAAGTCAAAGTCAGCCTGTTCACGAGAATAGATCAAGCTCAGTGCCAACAACAGTAAGTGATAGTTTAGGAACTTTTACAGCACTATGTTCTGATGAAAACCAACAAGTTTGTAATCATTTGATGTCTGAATCAAATAAATGTTCCTGGTTAAAGCCATATCAGAATAATCCAGTCTCGTTTGGAAAGCAGCGTCATCTATCAATGCCAACAAATCTGTATCCTGTTGACCATTCTTTTTATCATCCAAATAATGAACGATTCAAACAGTCTAACATAAAATCTGCACCGATTTCATTACAAAGTGGTGTCATGATTACTGATTTTCATTCAGATCAACGAAAAGAAATGGAAAATAGTAAGTTATTTCATAGATATTGTTCAATGAAAGGCAAGCAAACAACACCTTCAAACTTGAACGGTTCAAATTATGATAGTACAGATAATGGAAAAAGAGTAATACCAGTTATTTGCTTTGAAAAAGCTTCTACACCATCTATTTCAGAAGCAACAATCTCTGAAGATGAACAAGAATATCAAGCTGTTTACGAGCAAACATCACAAACTTCATCATCACCGTTTATTATTAAAGCTCCTACATCAATGCCAACCAATGAAAGATATTGTACTCATTTAAAAATACCAAAGCATAAAACATCAAACTGGATAGCTAGACGACCACCATGGCCATACAAAACTTGTTCACATCATTACAAACAATCAAACCAATTCAAAGCGGGGCATATTTCTAAACATTCAGCAGACGATAATTCAACGTCTAGTGTTGTACATAATCATAAAAATAATAAAAGTAATCAAGAATTAATTGAACATTTAAGTCATCTCACATATCGAATTAATAAATTAGAACATGAAAATTACTTTTTACAGAACAGTTTGTTTAATCAATCCAATTCCATACTGACACAACAACACCAACACCAAGTGCCACAATTATTACAACAGCATCATCAACAAAAATGGATACCTACAGTAAATTTAACACGTAAATATAGTCTACCAGTAAAATCAACAAATGCATATCAACATATTCAAGATAATTTAAAAATACCACAAAATTTACACATCAATGATCATAAACCTAATCGATATGACCATTTAAAAGATTCAAAATTTAATAGATCTCAGTCAAATATGCTTAAAAGTGATGAAAATTTAATTGAAGAAGATTTGGTAGGGCAATCAAACATGAACAAGAACAACAACAACAATCCAATATTCACTTTTGATTAACAAGAGAAAAAAATTCCATTCGTTCAAAATTCATGTTTTCCTTAATTAGGCGCAAAAAAAGGAACTTCATGTACCGAGCAGACAGGAAATTTAAACGTATCAATTAATTCCAATCCTTCTTTTTTTTTCTCTTATGAATAATTAATTTTAATATGACCAGTTGAACACGAAAAATCTAACAGTAAATGAATTCATAGCACGTTTTTACTCTAAACTAAAATCCATATACATATATATATATACATATATTATATTAAATTGTAAAAATTTCGAAACCTCTATATATATATATATATAGTACCCATTTGTGAAATTTCTACTGTCCTTTAATAATTTTTCTTTTCTTCGTTAATTATCCCCTGACTATCACGTACACATACACATGCACAAATTCAGCAAGTTTAAAATGTTCGCAACTTTCTACTTATTTGTAAAAAAAGTAGTATAATTATTTATTAATCATTTACGTTCTTCAGTTCAATTTCACTTTAAAAATAGTTGTCAAAGGATAATCAAGCAATAACGTTGGATAAGACAGTTAGTTATCCCGCTGAACATGAGAATATTAAGGCATTGACTCTAAACATACTAGGTGATTGGAGAATAAGATATACAATTTCTTTCTATGCGCTTCATAGCTGTTCACTAACTGAAATTGATCTTGAAATTAAAAATAATTTAAGGAATAAAAGAACTAAAATGTGTTCACTGAATAAAATATTCTAAAAACTTTGAAAAGCTTGAACAACAGAATTTTTAACTATTTTTAAGGGTTTATGTCATATTCCCAAGATTCAGCCAATTGATGGATAGCTTGTTGGTGTTTAAAATCAATGATGTAATTTGAAACGAGTATTGCGAACTATTAATGATGCATTCAAGTAGTAGTAATTCATCAACTAAATACAACGATGAGAAATAGGAATGTTGAATTTCAAATTAACAGTGTAAAATTTATTCACAGAATGATATCAGATCGAAACAAACAATCATGTAACATCGAAATTATGTAATAACTTTATTAACCAATATCTACAAAGACATACGGGGTTTGTGTTTCAATATGACTACCAGCAGTAAGATATAGATGAGTATTACTGATATGCCTCAAATAGTATAAAAATACGTGTGGTAAATTCCACTTTTGGAGACACTGTCCAAAATATAGAATAAATTTTCTGGTAGCTTTTTTTAATGGATTTTGTGAATTGCCTGAGAGTAAATATCTTCTATGTGATACTTTCAGTCATTATTCAGTCATTAGGAACTTGGTCAGTCTGTCTGCAAAATCCACACCTTTTAAATAAAACAATATTATTTTATTCAAAATAGTTAACATGAAACTGGTATGATTTAGATTCACATGAAATGTGTATGTCTTTCGGGCTAAAATCTTTGTAGTTAACATACAGAACAATAAAAGCGGAATTCGACTAAAGTTCGCAATATATTTTTCGCCATCTCAATAAATCTTTACAAGCTGGATGTGATCATAGCTTTTTTAAAGTTTTAATCGATTTCTACTGGAGTCCAGCTAGTGAAATGATTTCACTACAGCTAAGGCTACTCAATAATACTTCATCAACATTAATAAACATCAGTTCACTATAACATGATAGGTACCTTCCCTCAGATAAGTCAATCAGTTACAATCCGAACTTATCATTGAATTTCACTGGTATTTGATTATGTAGTTTAATTCTGATCGGAATGATTAGGACTAGATAGATTCCTAAATTGTATGCATCGTGTAAGGCATTTTTATTAGACTATCTGTCTAACGGCTACGTCACGATTAGGTCACAGATTGTATTTTTAGCCATTTACGGAATGTAGAGAATTAACCACTACCTGTAGTACCACAAGAGTTTCAATGGATTGACCCTTTCCTCTTATGCGCGATATTATAAATTACAATCAAACTGACTGTGAAAAATATGGTAATCTCTGAAATCTCTATGGGTACAAGGCTGGTAAATATACCCAAAGTCTCCTAAATAATTAGCCAAATGGTATGATATGCTAAGTACGTAAACCGTTACTGATGATGCTGGGAATGCCATTATCAACTGAGTTTCATAACTTTAGAAGACCGTTAACTTGACAATATTAATTGCATGAATTTTGAAATTAGTCGTTTGGAACATAATCAGGACTTTCCTAAAGGCCAAACCAGTATCAAGTAATGTGTACCACGAATTCAAGGTTCATTCGTCATTCTTAACAAACCTACTATCAATAGTGAACATAGCAAAGTCTGCTAACCACTAGACTTAATTTATATCAACAGCAGTAAAGGATTTGGTCACTTTCCTCTTTCATAGTTTCTAGTAAAGTTGGGAAATCCGGAGACATTCGGAAATTTACGAGATGGGTCAATTAATCCCCTATTAGTTGAAGGCAAGAGGGTAAAAATCAATTCTAAAGTCTTTTTTTGGAGACTGATATTTAAAAGAGTGCTTGAGGCAAATAACATACTTCAATTATATTTATTCTTCATGTTAATGAATTATCAAATATTGTTATATCTATCACAAATGTATAATGTCAAAATTCAGGCAAAAGTAAAAAAATATCATTTTACGAGTAATCCAAACTGATCTTCACATTGTTAAACTAGTTAGAAACACAATTTGTGTCAATCAGTCCAACTGTGTATATGTGCAAGGGATGTAAAGATAGTGTAGACTAAAAAATCAGAAAAATGTCTCTCCTGTCATTCTTAATTCACGATCAGTTAGATGTCACAATAAAATATAAATTGGAAATGAAATTCGTTTCGAATTAGGTTGATAGATGGAGATTAAGGGAGACTAATGAAAAATTACGTAAAATACGTTAATCATGATTTACACAGCCCTACTGTGACTGAAATAAAAAGCATTATTTATATGGCAATTATGACCTCTTAGAATAAGCACAGAGGGCAGCTAATGGCATTATTCCAGGTTAAAGAGACGATTACGTATTTTAGCTAAAACTGAGACATTTCAGTACTCCTTTATCTATGCAAAATAACTAAATTAATTCGACAGTTTATAAGTGTAAGAACTTTATTCTATAAGACATTTGACTCATTATCGATTCAGTCATTCATGCAATTAGATTTCATCGAATAGTCTTCATCTAAGATTACCATAATTAATATCATTACTACCTTACTATTGTTCTTTGTAATTACCAGCAATCTTGTCATATGTTCCTAGTACTTGTTTATAACATAGTCTCTCTCACCTATTCCTTTTGTTCAGAAATTTAACATGAATGAATATAGAAATTTGTTTTAGTTATCCTTCAGTGATGAACAGACTGAATGAAATCTACGCACAAATTTATTTGTGTATAACATTTTAGCTATTTACCCATTTATGCCTATCACTGAGCATGTATAAAATTTGAAATACACTGCAAGAAGTATATTCGTTTCATTCTACAGCCCCTATTACCACTGCTTTACAAAAATTAGATTTTTTTTCAGAGGATGTCAACCGTCTATTAATAAAGTAAAACTCAATCTCGCAATTCCCGTTATCCGTAGCCTCCTCAATTACAAAACATTGGGAAATTCAAACTAACTGTCCGATATATAACATTCAGGTCTTCTTTTTAAGTCGTTCAAAAGAGCGAAGTTTCAAATATTTTGGTTTATACGGCTGTAATTAGTTTCGAAAATCATTTGCTAGTTAAGGTAACTGAATGAAATTAGTCAGTATTAGTTAGATTAATACCTGTTGACAGTACTGAGCCTACTTAGAGTATGTACTTAATTTCAGTCCATGAATAAATTACACAAGATTTGCAAAGTTGTATTAACCCCAAGTCAATGAATATTTTAAAATATTTACAATTAAAGTGCGTGAGTTTGCTTAAACAATATAATTTCGTGTTGATAGCAATCCGTAAGGGTCGAAGCTGAAAATAGAAGTTATGATATTTGCGGCTACATCTGAGTTTCAATTGTAACCACCTAGGTCTTTTAGTCATGAGTTGCAGTTTGCCCTTTTTCGCTATTTTGGTGGACTAATACACATTCAGGGGTCACGATAACTTTTATGTATTAATGAAACACGCACTAAACACACAAATTTATGATGCAGGTATATTTAAATCATAATCTTTCGCAAAATAGTTCGACGGACCACCTGTATGCCGGTGGTTCGAAATCAATCCCAGTTGAAGTAAAGTTTTATATAATAGTTCAGCTAATAATAACTCGTTTTTGTTGACAGAGGTCATATAACAGAAACTTAGTGCTGATTTGAAATAGTGAACTAGAAAGCGATAGCACATTATATAAAAATTATTAAGTGGGACTATTACTGATATGGCCTAATCAATCAGTCTTCTAAAACTTTGGCGGGGATATATTTTACATACTACACCTAATTATTTATGGAGATTAGACAATCACACTTCATCAAACTGGCTTACGCATCTTTGTTTAAGTGGTTAGCAGCTAGAGTTTAAGACTGGTGATATAATTCCATTTGTTGTAAGTACTGAAGAGATAGTTACAAAGACACAAACCTAGAGAATTGAAGAAAATTAATCAGTCTAGTCTTTTACCACTGATGAATGTAGTTTATAGATAAAGACAGATTAGCTACCTAATTTCAGTTACTTATACTACACGAATTGTCGGAACTCGGCCTTCAGAAAGTGATTTGCCACATTCATCGATTTTGTTATTAACTTTTCAGTGAAAGTACCTGTTCCTCCGTATTCTTGTGATAAAAATTTGTAGTCTACTTACGCATCTTGGAGTTTCTTTGCACGTCTACGGAAAAATCAAAAGAAAATTTACCTCTGCTGAACTTCAGTCCATAGAAAAGGAGACTATAGCGAAGGCGAAATAAATTTCTATAGTGAATAGTTCTGTAGTTCTTCGACATTGATACTGACTTCATTAGTTTTACTCCTGGTGAAGGCACTCAGTCAAACATCCAAAGTGATACGCAACTTTCACACTAACTAGTTGGCATGGATCATATACACCAAAGTGCATCATTTGTCTTCTAAATTTGTTTTCAAATCCATTTACTTTTGATTTATGGTTTGACTGACCTTGGGTTGTCGATTATAAAGGTATTATGGACAACACCATTGTCAAACAATGAATAATGTGACATGCTTAATGACCTACAGACTATCGATACAAAACCTAAGCACCCCAAGCACATGCGTTTACCAATTCATCAAATTATATTTTCTTTCCTAATACGAGCTAGTATAAACGGATTGACTTATTTGCACTCGCTTCTTGTTATTTTATTAAGGCTGCAGATCATCTCACATGCTGTTTCTCATACTACTTGGGCACATAAAGCACCTTCAGGCTAGACCAGTACCTAGCAAAGGTTGAACGATACAAATGTGAACACTAAATGTATTTGAGTTCATGATGAACTAATCTTTGATAAGAAGGAAAACTATACAGAAACACATGATAATGTTATCAAAACCATAATGTTAAAAACAAGTTCAAAGAAGTATAAAATAAGCATTATAGAGCTCAAGACTAAATCTATGTAAAAAACATATGACTGCCAAAGAATGAGCCATACACATGAAACTACAGTAGGAAGAAGCATAAAAACAGAAATAACGATTCCAGTTAAGTTCTCCTTCAAATTGGATACCATTAGACAGTATATTCTTAAAATTTCAGCAAATATATAAAATATAAACAGGCATAATTCACTAGCGAAAATACCGAGAGTATAAGGAAGCACAACTCCTTTTAAAACATATAAAAGAATCTCTAAAACTGCAAATGGGACGAAATAATATATGTTACAAAAAAGCAAAACCTGTAAGAAAGAAGAAGACCGCACCAAATGAGTATCTGAGTTATCCGGAACCTTCACATCGTTTGCTGACATTTGAAAACGTGCAGCGTCTGATACTATTTAAACACACTAACCACCGGTTAAAAAACAGAAAAAAGAGAAATAAAGTTCCAGTTTATATTACCATATTTGATGAAATCCAGTAATTTTAGGAACATTATGTTTTTACAGTTTAGCCGCTGGTTTCACTTTTTAGCTGCGCAATGTCTACCCAGGTTTGTTTCGTCTTCCTCAAGATATCCACATGTTTTTGATTTAATAATGACTACAAATTGGATTATACTTGTTCATGACTAGTAACTTTTACTATTATTTCTCAGATTTACCTTATTTATTAGCTGTGGTGATGATAATTACGAATAATTTTGTATTTAGCTGTGGTAACTTCCTCAACTAAGTAACCACATACAGACCAATTCTTTTGTACTATTCTATGTTGATAAATGTAACTTTTTGATCACTTTGGTACTTCTACGTGAAGCATTAAGTTATTGATCTATTACGGTTGTTCTGGAAACGTACCGAAAGAACAAGAATTAAGCGCAAAGAAATCAATTGGTTTATACTAGTTCATGAAAAAGATATGGGATATCGGAGAGATAGAATTAAGTTACAACCCTTGGTATCAGTTTATATGTGTTGTTTAAGTAAACTCTGTAAGTGGATTGTTCTGCAAAACTATCTGTTTGAGCTACATGTCTTCAACCTTTCAAACGAAAGATTTCAGCAACCTAAACTTTTAGTTGGCTTGCAACAATTCCATGTCAGTTTCTGCATATGAACACCTCATTAAACCTAGTAAAAGAAACAACAAGTTTAATCACTAGTATTTTTAATACGATAGTGCACTGTTCATGTCATCGCTGTTTGTTCACATTGCCGCTGCTTTACATCAGTGGCTATGATAAGAAAACTTAACTAATTAAGAGTGCAGTTTAGAACTGACATATTTTTTGTTTTCAATCTTACCACCAACCTAATAAACGTATCATAACTTTGTATGTCCTCCCTTTTACGATTTTTCAACCTTTCCCTCTCTAGTATCATAACTAGATAGGTCTCTTTGTTGTCATAAGGCATACTTCAAAGAACTAGCTTAGTGTTCAAGATAAGTTTCATTTCAGGACTTCCCCAGTTCACCACCCTTGTTCATCATATCTAACCATATAGTGTCAACCGTTTTAGTTGCTTTGACAGCTTCATATGTACTAATGTGTTGATATCTGATTAAATCTCAGTACGGATTCACTTTAGTTCAGTCTTCTTTTGTCACCTATGTCGCTCGTGGTATTGTTAAGTTATTCGTCTGCTATCATGAACGTAAGTATACTGCACTGTGCTTTGCTTTACAGTTAGATGACTTGGCTTTCAGTTGTAGGCGACATTTGTCAGTTACTAGTGTTAAATAGTATATGTTCTCGAACCATTATGAGTGTTAGGACTACTCAGTAGGCAGCGTTGGGGTCAGACATGGAGTATTTGACATGTGTGGTAAATGTGTCGGTAAAACTGTTAGCCTTTACAAACTAAGGTGAGTGAAATTATGTTACCTCAGCCTGCCCACCAAGATTTACTTTCGATCCACGAAGTCATCGACTGTTGTACTGTTATCGTGGCTAGTTGTTGAATGTCATCTCTTTTCATCATTTTAATTACTCTTCTATGCTCTCAGTCTAAACATCCCATTTTCTCGATCTAAGATGTGATTGATGCTCATATTTTTCCCTGATGTTCTCACTAATCGTAACTAGTCACACAACAGTTTCTGGAGTTACCAATAAAAATATTTTGTATACTTCTAAGCGAATCGCACTTCTATCAACACAGTGCTTAGTCCTCTTAACCACCTTTTATTTGTAGAAAGAATTATAATAGTCTTCTTAAAAGCTGTATGCTACGTTTTATAACTACCATCTAAGTGTTTAACGAATAATATAGTTTCAATCATCAGCTATCATAATATAGGTCCAATCATAATATTTTCTTCATAATCACTTTCGATCTGGGAATTTTAAGGTCATTGTCGTTCGTATTATGCCCAGTAAGCATACCTTATTTCATAGTATCCCTCCTCGTAATGAAATAACTTTCCACAGTAGGATATCGTGTTTAGTTTCATTCTGATTAGCATAGTGATTTTTGCACATGCGTTCCTAAACCATTTCTCATTCTTTTTCAGTACAAACTAAGCTCCTCACAAAGAGATCGAGTGAAAAAGTTCAATGCTATTACTCGAAGCTCTGATAAAGTTGCTATCGACTGCCTTCAAATGAGCAACTGGAGACTAGATCAGGCCGTAGATTACTTTTACAGACAGAATCCGACCCCTCAAGGACCTACTATCAATGAGGCGAAAATTGACCATCTCTTCCAGCGTTATCGTGGTAAGTGTTAATGCGTTAAATACCTGTGTCCGATTGTTTAATGATAGATAATCGGACATGGAAATGCACTACTGATTTCATTTTGTCTGGTCACTGATATCTCGAAACAGCCGAGTCCCACTTAACTGTACTTATGTTAGCATGAATCTAATTAAAAGTTTTCAAACTCTGATAATCCATTTGGATTCCTAACTTTTAGATAAAGCTTCTGGAATGTTTTCAGAGATTTCCCTATGTTTACTCTGAATTTATTTATTACTCCAAAACAACTTCCATTTAATTATAAATGCTGTAAGAGAAAGTAATTGTTTCAATTAAGTCATTACTTTGATTCCAGTTAAATGAACTATTGTACCCAGTAACGCAACATGTGTTCATCCACTTGTCTTTGAATCACGTTTTATTTTAGGACTAGTAGTGATTTTCGGATACCGACAATCGACTATATGAATTGTAGTTTAAAGCTACAACTTCATAAAAACTTCGTTACGAACTAATATATCTTGTCTAATGGTTTATTCTGTGTAGCATCGCCATCTTAATTTCTCACTTCTCAAGTTCAAAATTTTTAGAATTAGTTTTTTCTGTATTGTGTTTGGCTCCTGATAATTGTTGTCTAAGATAGATTCAATGTTGTTTCAGAGAATTTGGGATTCATTTCTAAATACAATGTCTGTCGGTCTTTGATACGAACCCAACTTTTCTGACAAGTACAACCACATACTAGTAAATCCTACGATATCGACCCGTACTTATATTTCAGTTAAAAATATAAGGATCATGTTTCAACATTCTAGATACAAAAAAATAATATCTCTATCTGTAACTACAAATAACCCCACAACTGTGTTTCACGGAATGATGATATAAATTTATTCATGCTCTAAAATCTATTGTTATCCTATTTTCCCATTATATATTTCTTCATAGATCCCCAATGTCCTGATCGCATATTAGCTACAGGGATGGAGTTATTTCTTGTTACGGATCTTCATATTGACCCAGAAAGTTTGATCACCTTGATCCTAGCTTGGAAGTTTTCAGCAAAGACCCAAGGAGAATTTACTCGTGAGGAATTTTTCCGTGGGTTCAGAGAGTTGGGGTAAGTCATATCACTTCAAGTGACAATGTTATGTTTCGGTCAAATTTAATCAAACTCAGGGATTAGTTCTTGAACTTTATGGCCAATTTAAAACTAGTTTCCTTCAGTTGGTTACCATCGGAAATAAAAGTATTTACTATGCTTAACCATAGATTAAGTCCAGATGACATCTCTAAAAATCATTAAAAAGTCTCGTTCTGTAACATTACTTAGTGTTATGATTTTCTTAGTACTGAGATCATGAGCTGACGTAAGTTATATAACCACTGGAAACCATCAAGCGCCAAATATGTTTCATTTTAACGTGGAACTCCTGAAGTGCGCATACAGAGAATGCCAAGAATAGAACCAAGGGTCTTTAGGTCTCGTGGTAAGCATTTAACCTTCAGATAGTCAACTCCAGCGCTGATGTGACTATGGACAGATATGCAAATACGGGAGAACAAATGAATGGGATTTAAGATGTACATATATACAGGAAACCTAATAAGCCATCTAGTTATTTAGACAACTAACACAATCTAATAAGAAGAATGTATGTTGACGGTAACAAGTGATCAAGTATACATGCTCATACAAACGTGATAATAGTAGTACAAATATATAGACAAATTGTTATTGTTCGAATGACACTGTCTATTTAATGAGTTATTTGAAGGACTTAACCAAATAAAATGTAAACGGAGTCAAGTATAAGTGAGATACTACAAATAAACTAAGCATAAAACTCCTGTTTGATAGCTTAATTCATCAGAATAACGACCTTACATCTGCATCTCACATGGATTTCGAACAAATCAAGGCAACTTTTGTAAAAATTTTGGTCAATACATAAACAGAATTAACAGGTAGGCCATTACTTTCAAGAGAACATGAATCCTATTTAATTGATCCCCTGAATGGTAAAGATTTAATGCTGAGCCGCCCAGATAAGAATGCTGGTTTTTTCTCCTAGACTACTAGGATTAGATTTCCAAACTATTCTCCATATTATCTAGATGCATACAAATTTCCTACAGAAACTATTCGGTTGAAATTTTACAGCCAATAGGAAATTGTGTTACAAATATAGCAATTTCAAATTCAAAATATTTTTGATTTAATATATATGTGTAATTACTATACTCTTTATTTGTTTGTTTTAGTTGTGATTCAATCAACTCCTTGCGTAATAAACTTCCAAGTCTGTTGACTGATATAGAAGATAAACAAACTTTTCGTTCTTTATACTTATTCACATTTGGTTTTGCTAATTTGGATAAACATGAAAGTAAATCATTAGGTGAGTAAATTTTTGTTTTAAATTTCGGTGCTAATAATTGTACTCTATTCATTTATATGTTATTCCCAATTATTAACTCATGTTAGTAATTATCACAGGCGTTATACAGTTGATAATAATAGTCATTGAGGATAATGAACTGCCAACCTTATAAATCAAAGAAATTAGTTAATTCTTTATACGTGGACGTACTTTATATCAGTTTAGCCCTCGACTTCGTTTCTTTAGCCTGGCATCTCGACTCTGAAGGTTCTGTCATATTTAAACGGTTGTAAATCATTAAGTAATTAAATTCTGTAACTACATGTGTCACTTAAACGTCTATCTTCAACGTTTGCGCATTGATGTACAACGAACAATAAACAGGTTTAGCTATGGCTGTGGAAACTGTCCTTTTCGATGTTCACTCCCTCAGTAACCTTTACTCAGGATTCCATTGATGGATTGCAAATCCATTTTTCACCTGTAGATTTTTCTATATTGAATTCCACGTGATCACTACCCGATAACCTTGATCCCCTGGCATCTAATTTCAGTGTTTCATCAAGCCCTAGAACAAAGATAACATCAATCTATCGGATCCTCACTAAAAGTCGTTTATATGTCCTCAAAATAGACTTTGATGTGTGTAAGAATGAAAACGTTAATAATACAGTAGTGTGCACTTTTCCTTTCGTCAATATTTCCTACTAGTATTTTTATTCGTTGCACTGTGAGTCACTTAGTATTTTCCCTTACTAATATCTTAAATTACAGTTCAGTTATAACTTATTCTGACTATTTCAGCTTTCCACGCTAATGCTACGAAGCTATCTGTCACTTGAAATCTCACTCGTTCTTTTCCAGTTATATTCTCTGAACCTTTCCACTTCCCTTAATGTCATTACTGTTTCAGTTGCTTTACTTGCCATCCTGTTAATTTAGACTTTACTGCGTTAAACTGGTGCATATCTTCACTAGGTTCTTTATTGTCTGTGGCTAACTTAACGATAAGTAACCCACCGTAGAAGCATTATTTACATTCAAACTTGTTCTGTAGTGGTTGAAATCTGAGAGTTGTGAAATGATATTTAAAACAATCAACTTTCAACCGCAAAGTTCTAGGTTTAAACTACTCTCCACCTCATTTTGGACGATTAAGTAGCATTATACACTTAACATGACTTTAAGTCCGAATTATGTAAACCTTTACCTAATGAATGTGTTAATCGAAACAAGTGAGCCACTATTATTTTCGTTTTCTTGAATCCCCATATATTAATTAAACTTCCGTACCAGTATTTCTTTATTGTACATGTATTTATTTCATAGTTCTTCAATACGCTATTCCCTACTGGGAAATCCTTCTACGTGGTCGATTTTGCCATTTGTCTCTATGGTTTAAATTCCTTCAAGTAAGTTGTTTTACGGACCACTACATTAACTGGACAGTTCGATATATTTAATTGACAGTAAATTAAACTGAATCGTTTAAATTACCAGATCTCTTATTCGTACTACTAGTGAAATAAAATCCACATATATATATATATAGATATGAAGCCATAGGACCTAACATGATTCACTTGCTTAATTTCTACTTGTAGCACTTGTTCATACTTTGTTTCTTCAGAGAATTCACTTTACCAACTACATGTAAATTAAATAAAACGCACCTATAGTGTAATGGCTAGTATGAACACCAGGTTTTTAAAAGTACGAAATTAATAAGTTGATAAATGAGTTACTCAGCCCTTTATAGACGACACCTGGAAAAGTTTTTAATAAGATATTGACTTTTTACCAGGTAGATCCACATTGTCTATTAGAATGCTACCAATACTTCAGTTCATATAATAAACAGGTTTTGATTATATTTTTGTCGGTTAACTACTTACTGATACACCTGGATGGTTTCAACTCACAGACTGTTTTCTACTTGATTATTTGTGTTACCTTTGCATCTCGAATCTTATCACTAAGCAATAAGTCATACTGGTCTTTTCTCTTTGATTTTTTTCTAGGAGCATCATAAACGTCCAATTTCCAAGGACACATGGGATCTTCTTCTAGATTTTGTTGAAACAATTCATCCAGATATGTCTAATTATGATGAAGAAGGTATGCAAAGATCGGTAAATTTGCTTGCGCACTATTTTTCAGCATTTATATTGAGTATACATTTTTTGACATAAAAGACCGCTTGTTGAACCGAAACTTTAGTGTTAGGAGGTGGTTAGGTAGAAGTAACCAACAGTGTTTCATGACCTAGGTTCCATACATTAACTATCAAGATATATTCGTCTCACTAAACACGTGAACACGATACAGTCTTCTATGCAAGTAACATTCATAAATGATATTGTGCACTATACCAAATACCGTTGCTGCCAATGCTCCAACAATATCCATACTGAAGTACCTGGATGAAACAAGGCTAGAATCCCCAATTCAATAACTGAGTCATGTACGTAGCTCACTTATCCGTCGCTCCATCCTAGCCACCATATATCTAGATCCATTATTTGTATTTGTTAAATTGCGTAATGTTTAGAAGTCCTTAACGTGGTAGAAATTCATTTCATTAATTAACCCAAAAATACGCTTACGGTGCTTCCTTTGTTTTGCATCTCTACTTATTGCATTGATTAGGAATCATTTTTGTTTTACACGGTTGTTTATCGATTCAAAAATTTTTTTTATCCACAGGGGCTTGGCCAGTACTGATTGATGAATTTGTCGAATGGGCAAAGCCTCAAGTTCAAATGGATATTCCTCCAACAAACCACCCATGATTTGGTTGTACGATTCTGGGATGATACCCATCCTTTGTGAAATATGCAGCTATTCTAACCTGACATTATTTTCAGTCAAAACATTTGTAAAGCTCATGTTATCTTTCTCTCCAGGCTTTCTCCCTTTGGAAACTACTTCGTTGTGAATAAATGCTCACTTTCAGCGTGTAGTCTGTTTGTGTGTTCACAGTCATAGTTCTCTCAATCTTTTCTTACCAATTAGCACCGGTGAATTGAAGTAAATTCACTGTGAAATACAAGTGAGACGAGTCTCAGACCAGATAACCGTGTACTACATCAGTTTATTTCGTATTTCGTAGATTATTCAAAATTTCGAATCCATATTTTGTTGTCTTTCATACAAAAGTTTTTAGTTAGTGGCGAGAAAACCAGTATGTTGCAGAATATTCAATCCCGTGTTGTTCTTTGACGTTCGCCTTGTTAATTTTCCAAAAAGATTTGTGCTTCACATATGTACCTAGTATATTTAACACTTTTTCTACATTGCCGTAGGTCATTCTGGCAGATTACAGTGTTAGTGCTAACTAGTACTTCAATCTGTTGATGTACAACTTTATCCCCGCATTACTGCCTATCAGGTTACTTTTCCAATGCACATGTTCCCAAAATTTCTTATCTTGGCTTATGATATATAAGCTGTATAAATTTTGTTTAAATATATACTGTATTCTTACAACGGGTTTTTGTGTATTATCGTTCTATTTACCACTTACTTATTAAGTCGAGTGGTTGGATATCTTAGTTCGTGTTTTCAGTCAGTCAGTTACAACGTAGAACTTCGTACTTAAGTACATCAATTCAGGTTGCCATACCACATCAGTACACAGACGCAACTGTCAGTTCAAATCCAATAGTGGCAGCGATAGTAGAAGTATTAGCAGTAATGAAGAAGATTAGGGTTCAAGATATGATTAGAGAAGTATAATTCAGTGAGATAAAGTAAGAAAGAGAGAGATGATAAGCAATCCAAAAGATTAGAATTTCAGAAAACACAAAGAGTGGATGCCTTTGCGCCGTTGCAAACGATTCCGAGCCATTTCGTCCAAGGTCTCTAACCATCGATGACTTAGGTATCGCGGACCCCAACCAGATAGCCTACATCTACCAACATGACTCAGTCCACTTGTCAGTGACTTCATGGATTTGTACCATGTTTTGGTTAGGCCGCCCCTAGCTTTCTTCCAACCTACACCACAAAACATCGCTAGTCGATGTAGCCGGTGGTTGGACATTCGTAACACATGTCCCAACCACCTCAACTGAAGTCTCAATACTTCATCTATTGATTTGCTATCCCTACCTAGTACTCGTTTCCTAATGGCAGCATTGCTTATACGGTTGTCCCAGGATACACGAACAATGATTCTAAAACATCTGTGACCGAATACCAATAACCTACGAGTATCTTCTCCTCTGACTGGCCATATTTCGCATCCATATAGTAGAACGTAACAAACCACTGCGCAGCAGACTCGGCCTCATATTAATACACGGACATCTCGCCTACACCATAGATGACGTAAGTTGGCAAAAGCCGATTGAGCCCTCTGTATCCGTGCTGAGTTTTAGTCACACACCAGGCCATCAGCGCTGATGAGACTCCCGAATTGAGTAAAGCGGTCGACATCTTCAACTATTCTCCTCCGTATCATTAGTTCAGGAGCCAATATTGAAGCAACATATTGCATTTCGAGGGGGAAAACCGCATCCCGAACATGCTTGCATTGTCGCTTAGGGTAGTCAGAAGACTGCATTTTGTCAGCGTCTCCACCGAATAGAACTATGTCGTCGGTATATTCTAGGTCAGGAAGCGTGTCTTCAGGTAAAGGCCCAATCCTGAAAAGTCTGGCAAGGATAATGTTAACTCTTAAAGCATGTCTGCGACTAAGTTAAACAAGAATGGAGAGAGTAGACAGCGATGATAGTTCACCATAAGCTCTCACCCGACCAGTGGTATTCGAGTAAAGAGCCTGTATAAGGTTAGCGTACTTCTCTGATACACTTTTTAATGACAGACACTGCCACAGAACCTGACGAACAACAGAGTTGAGTGCCGCTTTAGGGTCGAGAAATACTATTATTGTGGGGCATCTGAACGAGTCTTTGTTCTAGGACCTGACATAGTGTGAATATTTGGTCTATACATCCACGTCCAAGTCAAAAACCAGCCTGGTTTTCTCTAGTCTGTTCTTCACGAGCTCTAGTTAGACGTCCGAGTATTATTGAGGCCAATATTTTAGACACTATATTAGTTAGACTTATTCTTGTGATTGTCACATGAGGACTTTTGTCCTTTCTTATAGACTGGGACAATCAGTTATTGAAACCAGTCAGGTGGGATTATGCCCAGTTCCCAGACTCTACCTAAGATCTCAATCAATCTAACTGCTGACACTACACCACCATCTTTAACAATCTCAGGGGTAATCCTGTCAGGCCCTGAAGCTCGCCCTTGCTTCAGACTTCCTAGAGCTTTCCCAACTTCATTATTAGCGGTGGACGTATATCGATTTGCCATTCAGGATGAGTGGAGATTTGGACGACCGAAGCGTGGCTGAAGGCTCGTTGAACTGATCCCTGAAGTGTTTTGTTCATCAATCCAATCTCCTGGATTGAGAATGAATCATGCAAGCCTATCTTTTTCTGAGATAGTTTGGCTAACAGATGGATTTCTATTATAGGTTTCATTGACTAGGCAGAATGGTTGTCTACTGTTACATACTGCTGCTGCCTTTTCCATCGCTCTTGCTTTCACCACCCACCACTGTTCGCGATCATTGCTGTTCATCAGCCTGCGCCTAAGCTGACTTTGTTCTTCGTCATGTTCAGGGCCAGGTAGGATGAGTTTACGAGTGTCTATCAGTTCGGTGGATGCTACTGAGATCCACCACTTTTTCCTAGCCTAATGGTTTACCTTACTAGCAGACATCACTACTGTTTGCACAGCCTTTTTGATATCATTCCAATCTGCCTCCGGATGGGAATCACTTAGATGGTCGCCTGTCTTTCGAGTTGCTTCTGAAATATATTCTTAGCTACCCTATCATTAAGTAGAACCCTAATAAGTTTTCCTACGTCCAGTAAGCCGCAGACAAATACGCGCTCACACTAGAGCATGACCCAAGTCTAAACATGTGCCCCAGAACGAGCGGCAGTTCTCTATCGAACGCCTCCATCGGTGGCTGATGGCGAAGTGATCTAGATAGGTCCAGCGTCGGGACGACTTTAGAGGTTGCCAGGGCAAGAGATGTTTTCCCTTATGCTTAAGGTTAGTGGTTCCTAGAAATAGGCGGTTATCTGATAATACTTGTAACAGACGGTCGCCATTGTCTGTTCTCTGAGCCGCGACACCATAACATCCACCTAGGTGTCTTTCGTTTTCACTTAGTCTACCTACTTGAACACTGAAGTTACCAGCCATTATAACTATATCAGAGCGAGGTCCGAAAGCTTTCCGTAGAACTCATCTTTTACATCGTTTGAACTGCAGTCCGTGGGGTCATAGGTAGATACGACGAAGAGGCAACGACGAGTGTCCCTATCCTTCCGAGTCCTTACTGTCCCGTTCAGTCGGACAGCGCACAAGCGACTATCTACAGGGATCCAGTCTAGAAGAGATAGTTCTGCCCTACGACTCAATGCTATGCATACGCCGGCGAGACCCCGGGAAGCAGCATCAGGGCTACCGGATACACGAAAAGTAAATAGAGCTGCTTCTTTATCTTGACATGGTGAGGTCAAGTGAATGATGCTACTCGGATCCTGTATGCGCGTTTTCGAGACGCAGCATACATCGATGGCGCGAGATTCTAAGGTCCTAGCTAAGGAAGCCTGTTGCTCTATTTGACACAATGTCCGTACATTAAATGCTCCAACATGTAGTTTAGAACAAGGTTTCAGGAGACCTGGAATAACGTTTCGGGAACTCGAATCGTTTGCATCAGCGGTGCAGTGAGATAAAGGAATGTGAGTAGAGTTAGTCGTGGAGATAAGAGAGATATTAGGGGGTGTAGGAAGGATTTGATTGTGACCAATTTGGTTTAATGTGCTGTCACGCGTATGAGGGAAGGCGTCTCTTCCTGGCCCCCCATACCGTGGGTGTTTCTTGAGGAACCTGAAAAGGAAGATAGATTAGTGTTGGTGAGTGACCGCAGAGCCCAAGGGACAACTGCTTGAGGCCGGTCACGCACGGCCTTTTTATGAATGATTTTCAGTTAGCTCCGTTCTTTTAAAAAGGCCTTACCGCCAGAGACGGAAATCCATGAGATAAGGTGAGACATTTGTAGGGTCGACCTTTTCTAACCCTTTTCTTCTTTGTTAGAAGGCAGCATCGCCCCGAGGAAACAACTTACTGTTGTCACACCCCTCCACAGTCAGCAGTACGACTTCGCCCTCAGACCTTGTGTAGCTATTTTTAGTCTCACCGTTCTGACATCGACCTGACTGGCACGGTAGGACCTACAGGAAAATATATTCCAGACAATATAGCTTGGTTGGGTCATCACGCTAGGAAAGTTCGACCACCACGATAAGGTAGCAGCTATGGTCTAGAGGTCACGTTTCCACAGTAAACAGATGTAACTTCGACTAAGTGATCATTTCCCAACGCTAAAGACTGGAATAGTAACCACAAGGCAAAGTTAGTCAATAAGGCACATAAATCCACTATCAACTTAGAATTTAAATCGGGTTGATTTATGCAAGATCGGCAAGATCCTTATCCTAACACGATTATTGTGTATTTACTAACCCGAAGGTCTATCATAGTCGAAATACTGACTGTGAGCTATCAAATTTTATATTAAAAGCATTCATGTTAAATTCCTATGACTGTTCAACGCATACTGACCTTAAGACGATAGTAACAGTAATCGAAAAACCATTGTCGCTAGAAATTGCATTTAGTGTCAAGACAGCTCGGGTAGTTTTCAAAAGTTTGCGTTGTAGGGGTTAATGGGTCATAAAAGATAAATCAACTA